AACTGGACAAAATTAAATGAACTAGTCTTTCAATTATTTATCTGCAAAATAAATAAAGCCTCTGCTGGCACAGAGAGAGTGAAGTGTTTCATTGCTTTGCTAGTTCATGTTACACCTTTCTGACTCCTCCTAAAAGGAATAATTCATTTTTTTTTCTCTAGACTGTTTTGAATTTTCATTTCAAACAAATGAAAAGCTTGTGTTTTCCAAACTTTCAGAATTTTGTCAAACATGAATGATGCCTCTACTAAATAGAAGTTTAGAAAGAGTTTTCTGGAGGATGAGCAGTTATTAAGTCCAAGATGTCCCCCGAGTGTTTATTTAAGAGCCTTCGCCGCAAGCATGCCCCAGATATAGACGTATGCTCAGACCTTATCGCTTCTCGCAATGAGCATGTCTGACGAAAAGCAGATTAGGCAAGGGGTGCTTTAGGAATGTGTCTCGAGCTCTACTGACTTTTTTTTGACTTGTACTATCAGTTACCTTGTCATGTTGCCTATAGGTAGCTTGAGTTTGGCCAGCAACAATACAAAAGACAGACCATAAGATTTATTTTATTTTGATGTTGTATGGGCACACAATGCTAACAAAGTTCCTCAACGGTGACTCATTTGATGATGTTGGCTATAACAGTGTCTAGTTGACCTACAAACACATGTGAGTAAATAAACAAAAGTTGTTTTTATGCTGTTGCAGTTGTTGTAAACGTCTATTAAGTTATTATATGAAACCACGGTGATTTTCAGTATACAGGTATACAACAAGGTTTACAAAAAGACATCAACCATCATCTAAAATGATTTACCTTCTCAGCTCATCAAAACTGTTCTTATTCAAAAAGTACATATTTTAAATAATCTAGAGCATAACTGTCTGTCTGTGCTGTTGTGTCTCTCCCTTGTAATAGAGAACAGATAATAGGAACACTTCTCTTGACCTTAGACCTTCTGGTGTCATAGCCTAATGACTAATGTGAAAACTTTTCCAGATCCTCCATAAATCATGCCATTTCTACAACAAAAGGAGGTTGAGTAGACAACGTGATGATGGTGGAGACTTTAAATGCAAAACTTGATGTGAAGTTTGAGTAATTTCCTGTGGTGAAAATATTGCGTGGAAAAAGCAGACAAAAGTGGATAGTGATTTATACCATTTTTGTATTTTTTTAAATATATTATTTTATTCTAAACTCCTAAATGAGCAGAAAAATAAACAACAACAACAAAAAAAAAACACTTAGTCTATGACTTTTGCGCTAAGCAATAAAAAGTAGCAATCTGCATTTGTAAAAAGCTCTTTCTACCTTATCTATCCCTTATATTTTATTTTATTTGAATAAACCTTATGCAAGTAGGTTGATTCGGAATGTATATTCCATCTTTTATGAAGTCACATGATAGATTTCTGTCAAAAGTCACTATTAATCTTTATCTCACTCATGCTTGTGTTTATTAATAAATAAATAAATGTTTGAAATAATTTGACCGCAAATGGTATGACTGAGGTGATGATAATTAGCAAACAAGCTCAAAAATAAATAAATAAATACATAAAAAGTGAAAGTGAAAGTGAAGACTTGGAATATAGCACACACAGCTCATGTGGACTACTTTTGTGATATTTTTATGGTACTTTTTTAGAAGTATATAAATCCACTTTACCAGAAGCTCAGACATTCGTTTTTTGTGTGAAACATTTTATATAATATATAACTCAATTCAATATTCTAATTCTCAGTACTTCAACTTAAACTATTCTGCAGTGGTTCATACACCCTGTGTCAGCATGTCAATCACAGTCACAACACAGACAATCAATTGGGCCTTCTTTTACAGTCTTTCTTTCTTCCTCCCTCCCTCTCACTCTCTCTCTCTCTCTCTCTCTCTCTCTCTCTCTCTCTCTCTCTCTCTTGTTTTTGGTGCAAGTGCCCCAGTTATGAAACCGCGTACATCCCACTCAGTCAGAGGTTTGAGCTCCTGCTCCCTCCCACAGGGTATGTACCAATATGCACAGAGCACATTTTCACAGATGCCATCAGAGAACAAGCATATGAATTACCAGGCAGCCTGCCATCTTTGAGTTCAGACAGAATGGCATTAATACCAGATGAAGAGCCCAAACAACAACAGCACAACAACATGAAAGCCTAAAACAACTGGGACCAGGTAAAGGTTTCATCATTTTATATATTAATGTCTTGATTAACAAAGACTCCAAACTCAACTCTCTCTCTCACACACACACACACACACTCTCGTTCTCGCTCTCCCTTTCCCCCAAAAGTTGTGACACCATTGAAACTACCGGCAGACTTGAGGGATCCTGTCAGCAAATCACGTTACTATTAATAAAATATATGCCACTGTTGACCATGACTTATTCAAGAGCTATTATAAATTCATACCTACAATTAAAGAAAACACAATCGTTTTAAAATTGAATGGCAATAAATATTAGTATTACCCAATTAAGTCACAATTAATACTAAGCAGGCTGATTAGCTGCAAATGAACACTCCAATTAAAAGATGCACATACAAATGGAATGAAAAGGGGAATTATACTGCCCATAGCATCTGGCCGCATGGAAACGTGATGAGAATATGAGCTAAAGGAGAACTATAAAGGGATAATATATGGTGTATTTGTCTTTTTTTTTGTACATTTGTTCATAAGGACAGATTACTGCTGCTATGTTCCCTGTGAGAATAATACTCAGTTTATTAATATAAACCATTTCTGATGGTATAATAAAGTGTGACAAACTGAAACACTCCTCCCCTCAGGTGCACCAAAAAAAATGCCAGCAATCGAATAAAGGAGGGGGACAAAAATCAAGGAAAATATGAAAAAGGAATCCAGGAATCAAAGATTTTCTTCTTAAAAGATATATGATATATGATGATATGACATGATATACGATATATTATATGATATGATAATGATTCAACAGAGGTCAGTAAATTTCCTCTTTTCTTTTTCTTTCTTTTTTTTAAAGAAATTAATACTTATATTTAGCAAGTATGAAAGTTTCAGTAAAGACATTTACATTGTATAGTTCAAATAAGCACTGTTCTTTTGAACCTTTTATTCATCAAAGAATCCTGAAAAAAACATATATTACAGTTTCCACAAAAATATTATTTTATTTAAATAGTACTGGAATTGTGATAATAATAAGACATGATTGCTGATATTCAAATCAGCATATTAGAATGATTTTTGAAGGATCATGTGACACTGAAGACTAGAGTAATGATGCTTTGAAACACAGGAATAAATTACATTTGAAATTACATATTAAAACAGAAAACAATTATGTAAATTGCAATAATATGTGACCCTGGACCACAAAACCAGTCATAAACGTACATTTTTCGAAATTGAGATTTATACATAATCTGAAAGCTGAATAAATTTGTTAGGATAGGACAATATTTGGGAGAGATACAACTATTTGAAAATCTGGAATCTGAGGGTGCAAAAAAAATCTAAATATTGAGAAAATCACCTTTAAAGTTGTCCAAATTAAGTTCTTAGCAATGCATATTACTAATAGAAAATTAAGTTTTGATATATTTACAGCAGGAAATTTACAAAATATCTTCATGGAACATGATCTTTACTTAATGTCCTAATGATTTTTGGCATAAAAGAAAAATCAATAATTTTGACCCATGTAATGTATTTTTGGCTATTGCTACAAATATCCCCCAGCGACTTAAGACGTAGGTTTTGTGGTCCAGGGTCACATATCACAATATTACTGTTTTTACAGAATTTTTTGATCAAATACATGTTGGTCAAACTTTTGAACAGTACTCTGTGTGTGTGCATATAAAAACTCTAATAAACTTTATTTTAATAAACTTTAATAAAAGAAATGTGATGAACTATACACTTAACCATTGCTATCTGCCAAAATCTGTTTTTGACATGTAACGATGCACATAATACATCAGCTTATTATTAACATATTTAATTTAATTAACATACATCATTAGATATGAAGGCAACAAAACAATTAGTGCTTTGTAAATAAATGTCAACCAGTGAAACAGCCTACAAGGTATCAGAGAGTGCTAATCAAACCTCGCATACAATGTGAAAGGAAGAGATAAACCTCAATATCTTAACACAACCTGATAAAGCACCTGTAATGAGGAGGCATTAGCAGTGCTATATAAAACATCATCATGGCCCAGTGAGTTTCAATGATATTCAGGTCAGGGTTTTATTAGAATCAAGTATAGTTGCTGTATCAGCTTATGAAAGTGCCTGTTTGCAATACTGATAGAAGCCTTCCTGCACTTAGACCCCATATTGATAATGGCCCATTTTGCTCGGCATAGACATATAGGTTGCATAATGGACAGTGATGTAGTCAGCCAGGACCTTTGTTTTATACAAGCTTGTTGTTCTAATCAACCTTCTTGAGAGCACACTGCCAGGGCACATAATGAAAAAGTAGCCAAAATAGCTTCAATTTATTTAAGGCTGGTAAAGCAGACTTGAACCCAAGGCTTACGTGGGCTTTTATGTTCACACAAGCAATCGCATTTTCCCCTGAGTCCGACCACCCACATTGTGATATTTCGGGCGTAGAAAGTTCAAGGGATATTTGGCTCTCAATCCCACCGCTGTCCCCCACACCCTCTCCTGCATAGCTGTCAGTATCGCATCTGAAGGAAAGTGAGGCGAGTTTGTCATTTGGGAGAAGGTTACGACACGGCGGCAGGAGTTCTGTCAGAGAAACGCAAAGATCGAGGGAGAGAACGAAGGCAAACCTCAGGAGAGGGTTCGTAATTCCTCCTGATGCTTCCCGAGCTTGGGTCGACTGTAGACAGTCAGGCAGGCTGTGCCTCACCGAGCGCTGGTGTTTCCTTTGGGCCCCCCCTCCCGGCCGAGGGGGGAGGTGGAGAATTGCAATCCCACCCCATCAAAGTGCTCTCTCTTAAACACTCACGTACACACATGTACTCACACACACACACACAGAAACTCTCCACAGGAAAAGCTAGAGACAGAATGCGCAGCCCCTTCACAGCAGCTCTGGTGCGTCGTGGCGTCCAAATGGGATCCTGCTACACTTTGATAGTTGGTTAATTACTCATATGATACCACACAGATGTCTGGGGGGCTCTAGCCGAATATTCGTCTCACTAACTCACTGACTGACTGACTGACGGGATCCTGGGGAAGGCAGACATTTAAGGAGCGGTAGGTGAAAAACCAGGAGGCATTTATAATTCATAAGTGTAGCAGTTTACGTGCCGTTAAAGATCCCTTTAGTGCCTAGCTGATGCTAAACTGAGATGCTACTTGAAGGGCTGTCTACTAAATAGTTCCTTGTGTACCAGGTGGTGGCGGGGACTTTGAACAGGAAACACATCTTGGCTCAGAAGTGTTCCTTTGCTGTCAAGATAATGAAAGGGGGTTTCAAATGATTCCAAACAAGATGAGAGTTGATTAACTTTTCTCACTTGTGATTCTCCTGTACGAATAGGCTATGCTTGTTATGGGTTTATTTAACTTATCTGAAAGACATTCAAATCATTTCTTTGTTATTAACAATAAAAAATAGACATTTTAATGTTCTTCTCAGCATAAGTGATTTAATTAGTCAAAATACGAAGCTTTAGGTTATTGGAAAATTTGGTAACACTATAAAATAAGGTCCTGTTAGTTAATTTGTCATGGCATTTATTTATCTTTGTTAACATCACAACGGTTCATGTTAGCTTATATCCATTATGAAATACTAACATAAGCAACTTTTGATTTTAATAATGTATTAAATGTTGAAATGAACATTAATATTAATAAATGCTTTATACGTTTTTTTGTCAACTAATTAAGTTAACTAATATTAACAAACGGAGCCTTATTGTTACCAAAAATATATCTGATTGATTTAAAACCTTGTAATTGTTATTAAGCAGTGGTCTGTTCTTGATTTCCCATTTTTATTAAGTTTGGGGAAACTGTCCTTATGAATGCCAATTGCAAACCAGAGCGGGAATGCGTGTTGAGGAAACCAAGCCGTGCAACGGGCGCATTTTAAAAAGTACAAATGAAAAAAACAAAAGCTTGATGCTGTGCCACTAGCACCATGCCAGCACTGATGGGTACTTGCCGGGAATGATAGGAAAGGCAATGTCTCGTCCCCGTAGCATGACAGTAACTCGTACTGGCACTCTCCATCTGTGCTCCTCCACTAAATCCCTTTTGAAGTTTTGCAGATCTAGTGTTATACGTTTAAGTAATTCTCTTTGATTTTGTTTTATTCTGAGGCCTGCGTCGTATGTCTCTTTATGTTGTGTACTTGAGCTGCGACAAACTGAACTCTAACTTGCTTTATGACATGGATGTGGTTTTGATGTCCATCCTGTTGTTTCTTATCCCACAGCTGTGCTAAATAGCCGTAATCAGGCTCTTATCACCTCATCTGGAAATCAAAGAGCGAACTGCGTTCTGCAATGGGCATTATGACGCTACGATTGTTTTTGCTAATGGCCGTCCTGGTCACGGTTGGAACATGTCACATTAATGGAACAGAGGAAGTCCTTCAAAACTTTACTACATCCAAAATCAATGTGCATAAAGGTTTCCAGCCCACAACCAGAAAAGCCCTGCTGGATAACAATACCAGACTGAAGGGGCCTCCAGCCTGCAAGGACCCCACTTCCATCAAGCACTATGTTAAGTATATTAACACAATTATTTCCTGTGCTGTGTTTGTGGTGGGAATGGTGGGTAATGCCACCTTGCTGAGGATTATTTACCAAAACAAGTGTATGAGGAATGGACCCAATGCCCTCATCGCCAGCCTGGCTCTTGGAGACCTCCTCTACATCACCATTGACATCCCTATCAATGTCTACAAGGTAGGCACAGATCGGTTTCTTCATTATTTTCAATTGGAAGGAAGCATGACATCATGTTGCTCTCAAAGGCTACTTTTCACAAATCCTATAGAGAACAATACAAAAGAGAGTACTCGAGCGCAGGAAGGGAGAATGAGCTGGTAGAGGAAGTTGGGAGGGGGCTTAGATGCACCGGGCAGGGGCGTATAATTATATACGGTCATCCAGAGTTTATCTCTAGGGCCGTCCTATTATGGTTAGTGAGGTTTTCGTGATGAGTGCAACAGGGATATTGCCTGATAAAATAAACAGGGGACTGAAGGGCTGCCATCCAAATGAATAGCCCTGTTCTGACTAGTGCTTCATCACTAGCCAAAGTCACTTGTCTGATTTTCGACTCATCAGTGAACACAGTACTTGACAGTGAACAGAGGCCTGTGTTAGCAGATGGGTCAATGATTTTAATGTATTTATTCAAAAACAGATGAAATATGCAATTCAGACATACAATGACTTCAATACACTTCTTCAGTAAAGAGCATATTTTGAATTTCTGTATGCTCCAAAAAATGTCAAGGACATACAACCGTCCTGATATTGTAATTAAGAAACTAGCCTCATAAAAAAAAAAAATCAAATTATTAAAAAGTATTTTGGCATCATCTATTATGATTTTTTATGGGATAAAAGAAAGAACATTTCAACAAAACTGCTTTGTTGCTTAATAAAAAGTGTAATAATCTTTAAAAAACATGTGGTCCAAACAACAAGCAAAACAAAATCAAATAAACATAAAACAGGAAATGATATCATACAGGATATCCTCATGACTGTGTGACAAGGTATAATTATCCAAAAA